AAAGCTTTTATTCCAATGCAGATTATTATTTTTTCATTATGAAGGACGTTTGCCTTTCATTAGTGTCCTCCCAAGTTACCACGAAGGTACTGGGAAGGTTACCAAGAATTTTCATCCTTTTTGGATCTCCTACTGTGATGTGCCACTAGTAGGAAATCTGCAACTAGAATCCTGTACGTGCGCTCCCGTAGTAGGATTAAGTATTTCGTCATCAGGAATTTCATTATTTTTTGAGCCAAAGAAGCTTTGATGGACCATAGTTGTTTTGCAAAAGGATTAGGAGGGGCGGGTCCTAGTTACCATCGATTGGCTCTGTTGTGGCACATCAATTGGATGAAGCTTGGGTCGTTAAGAAAACAACTTGCATCCGAGTACTTCCTGCCTTGAATTTATTCATGTTGTCGAAAAAAAGACCATGCTGTAGGCCAACGAAACAGGGGTTACCCTGTAATTGTATGTAGTTCTCAAGTGCCACAATGGAATTCAAAAATTCATTAACAACCTTCCTGATTCCCGTGTCCAATTGAAATCCGATTATATCATTTTTTGTAGCACCTGTCAACGCTGAAATGGGCGAATTCCCGGTGTTCCGTGGCGAATTTGTCAGCGAACCGTCACAAGAATCGACAATCTGCTGTGATTCCATATGATAGCAACCGGGTCATCATGCAGGTCATTCCTGGTGTGGAAGGGAGTGATTACATCAATGCCAGTTGGGTGGATGGCTATCGGTAAGTTTGGAGCTGGAGATTGAGCAGCATCTATGGTCATCCTCTAAGGGACAGCTTTTACAGGGAACGATGTGCGTACATTGCAACTCAAGGCCCTACAGAGCAAACGGTCGCCGATTTTTGGCGAATGGTGTGGGAGCATGATTGTGCGATTATAGTAATGCTCACAAAAACGTGGGAGATGGGCAGGGTGAGTCTGACAGTTTCTAAAATAGTTCCGCAAAAGTACATGAGTGAGCTTGAGTTGGTCCTCCTTTGGTCCCTCAAATCTTAACGATAGGAGCGGTTGTGGTACTGCTTACTGGTACTTTGCTTTGAAGTGAGAGTACGCTCACTGTCTAACTCTCTGAAGTATTAACTATTCTATCGGTGTTAGTTGTTCTAAAGAAAGGCGTGAAAAAACAAAAATATTTTATTATAGCTAACCGCACGTGTTTGTCTAT